TAAGTAACAGAAGAAAAGACTTTAAACAAGGTATTTTAGGCAAGTAAGGACGACTTATTTCTTTAGGACAAAACAACCAAACTCCTTTTGGTGTTTGCTTTGGGCTTTGTTAGTTTGCAAACCTTTTATATACACAAAAAGACAACTATATGACACACTGAAGGAAAGAGTGAAAACACAATATGGACTCTTTCATGTGTGCCTGTATATAGAGACCTCTTCACTGGACTCCGAGCTGGAGCTGCTGCCATCACGGCCACATCTGAGAGAGACCACCTGGGCTGAGGTGGCGGACGTTCGTACTCGTGCTGAGCAGGAGAAGGAGGGCTGAAACGAAGATGGGTAAAGGTAGAAAAAGAAGCTGTTTAATTACAGACTGCATATAAAAGATTGAGAGCCACAGGTGACACCAAGCATCCCAAAATGGAAGTCACAATGCAGCCACATCCTAAAGCATACCCTGTTTTACTAAAATATAACTATAATTTACAAAATGACATCAATCTGTATTGAATTAAACTTGAATTTAGTGATTGAGAGACTTAGAAAAATATCTACTGAGGTAACAAAGTAAGAAATAAGGTCATTTTCTCCAGGATTTCAACTATAACTGCAACTGGAAGAGTTCTTGTCCATTTAGAAGAATGCAGGTTTGATGCATTTCACTTTTCAGACCCTAAGCTTGAGTCCAGTCGTTTACATCTAGTCTACGGTTTTAATATTCAGTAGGATGTCCTGAGAAGTGTACGTTACAGTTCACTCATATCATATCGAACAGATTTGAGCAATACATTCTGTCCCTGTAAATCCATGCCAATGTAAACAGAGGGCTGCAGCAGTCAGTCAACATGTGTCCAACCCAGATTTGAGATACGGGATCTTTAAGTGGAATATTTAACAGTCGGCATAACATTCCAGCTTCTGAATACTTCGCTATTTCTCATTTATCCAAAAATTACAAGACTATATAGGTAGTTTTTTGTCTGATTTTTGGTGTTTTTTAGAATCTTTTTACATGTTACACTGCAGCTCTGTGGCACTTGGGTTCAAATAAACCCAAATTATATTTTAATTCAGATAATTTAATCCCTAAAAGCTTTAAATGTCTCACCACAAAGAAGCCAGGCTTGAAGGCACAAGTCTGCGGGTCACTTGCTGAGGTCTTTGCGCACTCGGTCTCTTTAATGCCAAACGTCATCAGTAGGTCAGTGGTGCCCTGGCCCATGGGAATAACCTGTTGAATGAGCATTAAGCATCAAACCACAAGTAAGACTTAAAGCTGCTGCTCTACTGGTAAAGACAAACTAAACACCTTAAAGTTGATGTGTTAAAAACGGATGCATGTGCACACTCACCCTTGTGACGTAGCCTCGAGTCACCCGGTAAAGATGGCCGACGGCGTACACAGAGTTGACCTGTGCCAGAGCTGCTCCGAGACCCCTTTCTGCCATAGACTCCAGCTCAGAGTTGTACAGTGGGATGCCTGCATTGGAGAAAAAAAAGTGGAACAAGTCAGCGACAGTTACTGCATCTCATTTTGAAGTGATCAGTTCAGAAAGTCTTACCTGTGCATCCTAGACACTGCAGCAGGGCCAAGAGAATCACAAATGACTTCATCTTGACGAGCACCAAACCATAAAGAAGTGTATCAGGTCTTCGTTTTCCTCCCTCTAAATATGCTCAGCTGATGTCTGATAAACCCGTGCACCGCCTCTTACCCTTAATAACCCCTCAAAAAAGCTCCATGTAATCACTCTTAACCTTTGTTCAGCACTATTGATCCCTGGCTGATGTGCCAAATTAAATGTGCACAGTGATAAGAATCTGGATGAGGTTTACGTCTAGTCTAACTGAGCTCTGTTCTGTAGTTTAAGGCTGCAACTAACGATTAGTTTTGTTGATTAATCTGTCAATTACCTTCTCAGTTAGGCGATTGGTTGTTTGGTCTAGAAAATGGTGCAAAATGTCGATCAGTGTCTCCCAAAGCCCAAGATGACGTCCTCAAATGACTTGTTTTGTTCACAACCTTGCTGATGGTGGCTCTGATGATAATTTGTGCACCTTCTTCAGCATTCTGTAAATCATGAATTATATTAATATAACCTCCGAGAAATACTTTTGGACAAAGCAGTTTCTGAGGCTCTTCTCATTTCTCTGGCTTGAGCCTCCTCATTTTTCTCCATCCTCCCACCTGTGACCTGGAAATCAATCTAAGTGAGCTATTTCGAAGGATCTCTCAGTTCCTAAAATGCATATCCAATGTTAAAACTCTTGTGGGAGGGACTAAGACACAAGGAGAGCATTCAAGGATAATCTCTCCTCACAGATTCTTTGCCTCCGTCCATAAATTTGACGTTTTTTCAACACTGTAGGCCAAATCAAATAGAGCACAATATTTCAGAGAATAATTCTCATCCCCAACTCTTTAATCCAGTGCATCACAGTTTATTTACAAGTTCACAAACAGATTGGTTGTTTTTTAACCGTTACATGAATCCAAAAAAATCCCTTAAACAGACTGTATCGTAATTACATATCAAAAATACTTCACATTTTCGGCATGTAGACAATTCTAGTTTTGTAAACAATAAATATGTTTATTATCTTTTAGTCCCATATTTACAGCAGTTTTCCACACAGTAGTTAATTAAGGATAATTTGTTCCCTCTATGATACACATCGTTTTAACAAAACTAGCACTACTGACAGAGGAATGTGTTCTACAAAAATACAACTCCAACTCTAAACACAGAACTGTAGCTGCATTTACTCCCAGCACTTCAGGAAAAGAACATTTTTCTGATCCGATTTGCTTTCAACTTAAAAAAAAACTGGACCAACACATTTTGGGGGAATGTTTACATTTTCTCAGCCTGAAACATAAGTTAGTTGTTTGTCGTGATTGTTTATTTTTTCCCCATTAATTATTCTAGTTCTGCCTCCTTTTAGGACAAATCCTGGTACGTGAGCCAACAGCTTCAATCTCCACATGTGATGGCCACTTTGTGTGAGCATGTGAGTGATATCTAATCACATTTTGTCACCAGCCCTGTAGTGTAAATGCAGCTGTAAATGCATCAAAGCAAAGTGTCAGCGATCACGTTCACAATACATTCACAAACACATTTAAAGAGTCTCTCATCGTTCAAGTGTTCCCATCAGAGGCTCCATAGCTGCCAGGAAGCAGGCTTCAAACTCCTGATCTGAGAAGCGAGCCACAGACTGACGGGCGTTGCGTCTAATCTGCAGCCGGCTGGCGGGCGGTAGAGTCAGGATCCTCTCTATCGCCTCTGCGTAGCTGTCTTCGTCATAAGCCAGGAAGCCAGTTTGGCCCCCCTCAAAAGGCACTACGATGTCCAGCTTGGGACCGCCGGATTTGTGGGCGACAATTACCTTCCCTGCTGCCATACACTCCACTACGCCTAGGATGGAAAAACAGAGAAGATTTAGCATTTCAGAAACTGTAATATTTAATGAGACAGTCTAACATGGATCTCATCAGTTACCTATTCCAAAGTGTTCGTTCCACATGGTATGCAGTCCAATGGTAGCTTCCCCCATCTCCCTCTTCAGCTCCTCGAAAGGTACATTCAGCTTAAACTCCACCCTGTCAGCCACACCCAGCTCCTGGCACAGCCCCCTCAACATGAGCACCCTGTCCTCGTCTTCCTGGTTCCTGCATCCACCGATCAGAACCAGCTTCAGCGCCCCTCTACCCCCTATTGCGTCCCTCCTCCTGTCCAACACCTTCTTGAAGGCTCGAATCTGCAGCCGGTGGTCCTTCTCCGGCCTGAACTGTCCGATGGAAATGATCGAGTGGGACTTTTTGTCCCCGTCCTCTTCCAGTGGGATGTCCAAGAAGGCGCTGACGTCGCAGGGCGGGTACACCACGCTGGTGCGGTTTGGAGAGCGCCACAGGGACAGGATGTGATCGAGGGTCCAGGAGGAGTTGACCATGATGAGGTCGCTGCAGGAGCCAGCCATGCCATAGAGCAGAGCGAAAAGGCAATAGTAGACCACCTTGAAGGCACTCAGGAACAGACTGTTTGTGACGTAGTCTGGGTTGTTGAACCTAAGGCACGAACACTTTGTTATTTGAGGAGCTACAAAGCAGCACTTGTACTTATGAGTTGAATGACCGATCAAAATTCAATGACCTAATTGACTTTGGTAAAGACACAAAGTGATTACCTGGGGTTCCTCTCTCTCACCACAGACAGCATGTCAGTGCTGATGGTGGGATAGTGAACATAGCTCCCCACGCTGCAGCCTCCCAGGTAGCGAAACAGGGGCAGAGTGAAGGCGTAACCCATGGAGTCGATGTAAAGGTCTGGGACAAACTCTGTCAGCGCCTCCCATCCCAGGAAGATGGACCCCACACTCTGTCCCAGCAGGGTGAAGTGAGGAAACAGGCCGGGCTCCACAAGCAGCCGGTGCCTCAGGAACACAAACTGAACCGGACGGGGAAGCACAATGTTGAAACGACGCCGTGCTCCCTCCAGAATCTGCGGGCCGGTCACACCCAGGTCCCCCGTGTACACCACAAAGTTGATGTCTGCATACCTGTGGAAATGCAAGTTAGATTTAAGCAAGATTTGACATCAGCAGAAAATATTTGATGCTCTTAGGTGTCACCCACACGACACTTTAAGCATCTTTACCTGCTCTGTAGCGCCCTGATGGCACACCAGAGCACCCTCTCTCCCCCGCCACCGGCATTGCAGTAGGGGTGAAAGAAGGCCACAGTGGGACGGCCGTCTCTGGCCCGCCGAGCATTCCTGTTGCTCTGCAGCCACAAACGCACTGCCAGCACCAGCAGCACCAGGACAGCAATCAGCAGCAGGCAGAGGAACACCAGCGGCAGGAGCAGCTTCCACAGCAACCTAAAACACAGAGATACAGCACAGCTAATGAGGATGTAAACATGATTTAAATTGCATAAGACTTCTTCGGGTGGAAATCCAGTTTTTGGGTTTTTTTTTTTAAAGCTTTCTTTTACATGCCCAAATGGGGTTTTTATGAGCGAGAAGACACATCAGGAGTAAAATAAGCACCGTACTGATGACTGTCTCAAAAACGTGGATTCAATTTATATATGAAAAAAATTTTAGGAACCAACTGTGAACTTGCAGGATTTTAAATTTCTTTATCAGAATCAGTTTCCAGTTCTATTTCTGAGTTACTCCAATGTCATTTAATTAATGACTGAAGATAATATGAAATATATAAAATCAGGGTAATGCCACAGATGTTTAAAAAGGATTTGCTTTTAGCTACTTAGAAACTATGCAGAATTAAAGAAAGCCAGAATGAAAGTATATACTTAAAAATGCTGTTATGACAAAGATCAAAACGATATTGTTTTGTGCAGGAGATTAAATTCAAGCATCAGATAAATATTAATACATATTATAAGCGTAGTAGCACATGAGTGACGGTTTAATAAACTGATCAGAAACGTGTAAACACTAAAGAAATAACCTGTAGTTCCTCTTCTAGCTTATTGGACAAACACTGGCAGATATGCTAAGCATTAGCTAAATGCTAAGAGCGCAGTTTTTATATCAACGTTATTATTAAAAACAGAAAACAATCTTTTCCACACATTACAGCAAACAAATATCTTATTTCCAGCTTTAATTGCAGCACTGCTGCTAATTTATAGCTGCTACCAGCAGACAGCATCAGCCAACCAGGAAGTGAATGAAGCTAGCTGCGCTTTCATAACGGACGATTGACATTTTCTCGATCGCTTTAAGCACTTTGGTTTGATTAAAAAATAAATAAATAAAAAAGTCTTACCTCGTTAATTCACACAGACAGAGGACCAGCTGATCGTGGCCTGACATCTTGGCAACAGAAATTTAACAACACATCACAACTTGTCACTTTCCTCCTGTGTGTTTATCCAGCACGTTCGTTCCCATTTATGTGGCGCCCTCTACTGGCCGGGAGGTTTTACTGCACCAAATTTTCTCATTTAAATTAATGAAACGTGTAGTTAATGTGCTTAAATTATATCATTTTAATTATATACAGTTTAAAGAGGTTGTTTAGAATACAACAGCAGCAATAATCTACGCTGTTCTGCTGCGGTTGATGTGATCGATGCCCTGGTTCTTTCTGAAAAGTAAAGTTTAACTTCTAAATAAACAACAGTTTCAATCAATAAAGCCTCCCTACCCCCACAGTCCCAACAAACCTCTGTCATTTCCAATCTGGATCCTGACATCATGGCGACTCTTTTGATTTTCTTTGTTTTAATGAATTTGGATCTCCTCCTCAGGACAGGACACTGCACAGAGACACGGCAAGTGGAGATTAATGGTGACCTGGTTGTTAAAGATTGTCTGGAAAAGGGAGGGTAGCTGTTTTGCACAGACAAAAGGTGTTAGGACACACTTACGTAATCACATATTGTGACACGTCCAGTTAAACCCCAGATTGTTCATTCCTATACCAGTTTTTGATATATGTTGAATTTTTATTTGACCAGTAGGTTCTGTTTGGCTAGAAATTCTAAACAGGTAACAAAAGACAGTAAAACCTTGTGTTTGAGACGTAGGAGATGGTTGTTGTTTTTTTACATTTTAACTAAAAATATTGTCAGTAATAGTTGGCAAAGACTTATTCTCCGCCAAATCCATCAGACAGTTCTTATAATTGCTAACCAGCTTTCAGCATGTCTTTGATGGGATTTTGTTCATCTTCTCTCCCGGTCTTTGAGGTTGGAATCCTTTCTTACCATAACTCTGGTCTTCAGTTCCTTCACCGATTCTAGATGGATTTCCGGTCTGGACTATGTTCTGTTCACCCTTTGACTCTATGCTGTCAATCATTGTCTTGTTTGAAGGTCCAGTGCTGCTCAAGACTGAGTTTTTCTTTGTCATGTTTTCCTCCAGAACTTGCTCTGATAAAGTTGTCTGGTACATTCTTTTCAACACACTCAAAGCATCTCATTCCCACCATCATGCTTTACCGTGGGGATGGAGTTCTTTCTCCTTTCTTTCTAGTGGATGCCCCAGTGTCCAAACAATTCCATTTTCATCTGATCACATAACTGATCCAAATCTTTCTCCTTTGTCCATCCAAGTGTCTCTGGATGTTGGTACCAGACTTGCTCAGATTCATCAGGATAGTCTTTTCCTGGCTTCTTATTCTTGACAGTGCAGGGCTCACTTTTGCCTTCCTACCACCATGTTGTTGTTTTTTTTAAATCAGTGTGTAACTCGTGTACTTTTTGATAACTTGAAAATGGCTTCATAGCATTTCTCACAATGTACAACTGGATGTCCTCATTAAGCTCTTTGGTTTTCGCCATGACGTGCAATCGACTAGTAACAGACGAGAGAACTACAGCTATTCTCAGTTTATAGTGCAATTGAATGCTTTAGAACATGGTAGAAATTACCAGGACCATTTAAAATGGTACAGACGCTCACGTTGCTTCAAAAATTTGCAACGACTTTAAGGTGAAGACATATTTTGGACATGACATAATTTAAATGTATCTTTAACAGGCGTATCTCAATGTCTTACTGTCATTTCCAGCCAGAAGAACCCTATCACTCACATTTAAATTCACTATAAATCAAAATTTGGCATTGCTTTGAAAAGATTAGAATAGACTTCATATTGGCAAAGGAGGAAGTTCAGTGCAATAAGTGCGTTCTGGCAATAACACCGCTGAAAAAATTGACATATTTGTCGCTCCAAGAGATCTCCATCTTTCACCTGCAACTTTCTTTTTTTCTTTTCACACAGTGACCAGATTCTATCAATCACCCCAAAAACACAAGAACAAGTGGACATCCTGAAGAATGTATCCACACAATACGAGGTAGAAATCACATTTTCGTCATCGATGAACTGCAAACTTCTGTATTCTTTTCTTTCACTGACTCATCACCTGAGACATTCTCTCCCAGACAGCCTTGTGGCAGCCTGTTTCACCTCACTACATCAAAGAAGAGACTCAGGTGCACCTCTTTGTTCCTGCAAACAGCTCAGAAACAGTCAAGGAACTGCTTCAGAGACATGCAGTAGCACACGAGTACGTCCAAACACTCATTAAACATTGTGTTGTCGTCATCCCAGGTGAATAATTTGTGCCCACATGTTTATTTTAGGGTGTTGCTGGCTAATGCTAATGAGTTGATCGAAATGCAGACGAGGAACGACTCCACCGACCCACGAAGCAGCGCGACTTTCTACGAGAGATATCACAGTCTGGAGGATGTAAGCTTCTCACCTTTCCAAAACAGCTTGTTGAGAATTTGGTGACACTCTGGGAGAAGTTAATTCAACTTCAGGGTCATTTTTAAGGCCACAATCAATATTATTTTTAGCAGGAATCAGACACATGAAGCTTCTCAAACAGGTTTTGTTCCAGGGTGATTGCACTGGAATGTATAAATGTATGTAATTCATGATATTTTATAGTTTACAAACACTCCATCTCTACCATCAGATCTATTATTGGATAAACAGAACCGCACATGACAACCCCAGCACAGTCAAAGTCATTCTCGTTGGCTCTTCATATGAGAAGCGACCGCTATACGCTCTGAAGGTAAAGCTTTGTTTCTCACCTATGAGATTTAATAAAGTTTACTGAACTCTTTAAGGGCAATAAAAAAAAAAAATCAGCATTATTTGTGCCATTTAAATTATTTTAGTTGGAAAGTGTGCAGGCTCTAAGACGTGTCTGTGATGATTAATGTTGGACCTTGTTGTCCTCAGTTGTCTTTTAACGACAGGCCCAATAAGAAAGCCATGTGGACTGACTGTGGGATCCACGCCAGAGAGTGGATCTCTCCTGCTTTCTGCTTATGGTTCGTACACTATGTGAGTACATCTGACCTGTTTGGAAGTGTTTTGTGCAGCTTTATGTTGCAGCAGTTCCACTAAAATAACTGTCCCCCCTCTCTCTCCTGCAGTCTTTGTCATTTTACAAGCAGAACCAAGACATCACTGACATCCTGGACAACATGGACGTCTACGTCCTGCCTGTCATGAACCCTGACGGGTACAAGTACACGTGGACATCAGTAAGAACACGTCAAACTAGATGTCTTTTAGTGTTAACTGCAGTTGTACATAAAGTTATTTCAGCTGGATTTATGGTTTGCCCCTGATTTTTTATTTATTTTTTGGTCTCAGAATAGAATGTGGAGGAAGAACCGCTCCATCAGCAAGACGACTTCCTGCATAGGAGCAGACCTGAACAGGAACTTTGATGCCAACTGGTGCAGTAAGTCCTCCTCTCCCGTTACAGTTAATCCACAACATAAAGCAGAAAGGTGACGTATTTAAGTTCCTGCGTATTAAACACCAACCAATCATTACTATTTACACCAGAGTAGAATATCTGTGACGAATATTGAATATAATTTTCTGAGAAAAAAAGCATTAAAAAGTCTTCTGTGTGTAGTAGAGGTGGAAGATACGACTGAAGTACAGTTTTGAGATACTTGTTCTTTACTTAAGTGTTTCAGTTTCCTGCTACTTTTTCCATTTACTCCGTTACAGTTCAGAGGTAAATATTTACTTTCCACTTTGTTACATTTATTTGGTAACTTTAGTTACTTTGCAGATTCCCATTAATATCACAAAACATAGAGTAAGATGAAGCTTTTATTGATCCAGGAGGGAACCAAGCTGATAAAAAGTAGTGATAAATACATAAAACATAACACAATGTGAAATATGCCACTCTGCAAAACTGTTATATTTAACTTGGTGCTCTAAGTTTAGTTTTGATGTTAATACTTTGGTAGTTTTATTAAAATTTAAATGCATTACTTTCACTTGCAACAGAGTATTTATACATTTTAGTGTTGATGCTTTTACTCAGGTATAAGATCTGAGTACTTCCTCCATCTTTGCCTTTATGTTGGATTGAATTTTATCATTGTTACAACCCAGCTGGAGAAAAGGGAAACAACACAACCAGATGTAAGTGCTTTAAAAGTAACAGTTATGTATTGAACGGAGTTCATCAAAACAACAAAACTGAGGTGAAGCAGGGTATAAAGGTGCTCCCTTAACTTAAACAGACATAAGAGCTTACAGAACTAACTTGCTGATGATGAAACAAAAAACAAAGTGAAAACCAAGTCCAACAAAATACCAGAAGTGTTGAAAATCAAAGCACACCAAACGGCACCTTCCTAAATGGAAATGAAAACCAATCCTCTTACTGAGCCCTGTCCCACAACAGCTTTAGAAAAAGTTCCTTTACACAAAACAAAAATCCTCCTGACTGAACCACGCACTGCTGCCCTGCATACAGCCGCCCTGCCTACTGTGCTGCTCCAAACTTAAATAGGCCGCTGGCATCAGCTGGAAGGTCTCATTGGGTCCTGCGTATCGGCTT